ATGAATGTTTACAGGCCAATGTTCAGATAGATAAATCTAAATTTACTGTAAACAAACAGCATAAAAAGATATCTAATATCTTAAAGTTGGTAAGAATATTCAACAAAATGATTTTGAATATTGACTTACCTGCTAAAAGTGTTTGTACACTAAAGCAGTCAGAATGTAATACTGTAAAGAATACTGCAATGCATGAAAATTTGTCTTAAGATTCTCTCAATTGTCCAAACTGTGAAATTTTTTGTAACTACATAGAAAATCTTGAGGAGCAAATTGATTCTAAAACAAATCTTTTGTTAAGACTACAGAATGACAGTAAAGAGGTTGCTGTAATAACAAAAGGTGGTAAAAAGATTGATTCTAAAAAGTCAAAGCCTCAAGCTTCCTGCATTCCTGAAATGGGGGAAGATGACGCAGATGACGAAACCGAAGTCAGAAAGAAAAAACTACTAGACCGTGCAGCTAAATTAAAATTACAAATTCATGATCAATTAATTCAAATTTTAAAAGATATTCCAGCGTATGACTCAAAGGTCGATGCCTTTTATAATGCGGACATCTTCGAGTCTTATACAGATCGTTATCACTTGACTGACAAACAGCGTAACCGTATCTATTATTTATGGATACCTGCACATTTTGCTAGACGACTTGTGAAATCACCTGTTATTGATGATGACGGACAGGAGATACATAGTGACGCATCAGACAGATTACGACAATTGTTGTTATGTACCACAGGTGAGGAAGTACCTTCTTTAGAAGTACTAGACTCATTACAGACTTCAGTTAGAGAAGACCCTTATGAATTTAAAATTAAATTCACAAGGGCATACAAAATGGTCTTGGGCGTAGATGATGAAAACGATACAGGTATGATAAAAGCATTTGTAAAAAAATTTAAATATCTTGATCCAACTTCTTTGGCCATTGTACAAGATAAAAATTTGATTACAGATGCTTGTTCGTTCATTGATAAAATCAGAAGACAAATGAAACAAAACTATCTCAAGTCTAAGATAGCTCTAGTTCAAAATGACACTTTCAATAGGAACGGTCAAACTACAGCTAAGACAGGAATGACTGCTCTTAGTAAAAGTGACAGATACAAGCAAGTGAGACAGAGAGAGCCAATAACTTGTTACTACTGTCTTCGGTGTTGCTTCAACTACAAGGAGGAAATTGGAGGATCCTAGCATATTTCTCTAGGCTTTTAACACCTGTTGAGAAAGGTTTTGACACATGTGTTAAACAATTGGTAGGAGTTCACTATGCAGTAAAAGCAACTGAGCACATTGTAGGATTCAACAAAATTATCTTACAAACACCTCATTCCACCCTGAAATTTCGCCTTGAGAAAAACATTTCCAATCAAAGATTTTCATAATAGTTGTTGGCTTTATCACCCAAACAGATCCAGGTTGAACATAATGCCAAATATGTACTCCCTCAATTGATGGAATATAATGGATCAGAACATGAGTGTTCATGTGAAGTCCAAGACACTTACTCTCCTCTGTTTCGCAGAGAAGCAGAGAAGATTGATGAACCTGTGTTTGTGGATGGTTCACGATACTGTGTCTCAGGGGAGTATTTTTCAGGTTATGCAATCTGGTTTCCAAAGAGAGGATATGCCATACAACACAGACTTCCAGGACACTTTTCAGCACAAAAAGCAGAAATGATAGCCATTGAGACAGTGTTAACTGTAGACAAAGAAGAGAACCAAGGTCCACTAGTGATTTATAGTGACAGTTCATATGTTGTGCGTTCTCTTACTGACTATCTTCCAATTTGGAAAAGATGAGGTTTTGTAGATGCTTCAAACAAAGCTTTAGCACACAGAGAAATACTAGAAACAATTTTTGCAATAGCAGGAAAAAAACCTTGTGCCTATGCAATTGTTAAAGTACCAACGCATAGGAAAGACAATGAAGAACTGAGCATAGGAAATATGATAGCTGACACATTAGCAAAAGAAGCAGCTGTTAATGAACAGTCAGAGACTCCATCTGAATTAGTTTCAGTAAACACAGTCAGAAAAACAAATACACAGATCCCCTCATTTGCAGAAGAACAGAAAAAGGACCCGTCCCTTTCTGCTTCTCAGGTTGATACAAAATCTTCCTTTGTTTATGAAAACGAGATTTTGTTTCATGACTTAAACGGGGTTCTGCGTCCTGTTATACCAAAACATTTACAAGTGAACTTCACAAAATACAATCATGAAAGTTTAGGCCATGTAGGTAAGCAGAGATTGCTAGAGATTCTCAAAGAGAGATTTTTCTGGGAAAAAAAAAATGGATGAGACTGCAGACAATGTAATTCAATCTTTTCTTATTTGTGCTCAAGTGAACCCCAGACCAAAAGGACAGAAACCTCCTTTACAAAGAACTCCTCCCGCTAATGGTCCATGGTCCACATTACAACTTGACTATATAGGACCATTACCAACAGGAAAATACGGTTTCAAATATGCTCTCATAATTGTTGATGTTTTCTCAAAATGGGTTGAGATTTTACCTGTACGCACAGACGATGCACTAACAACTGCAAGAATGTTAATAAATCATGTTTTTCCAACTTGGGGGATCCAAATTGACATCAGTTCAGATCGTGGAACTCATTTTACAGGTAAAGTAATGCAGGCAATGTGTAGAATTTTGGGAATCCAGCAAAGATTTCATGTTCCATACCATTCGCAATCTGCAGGTATTGTGGAAAGAATGAACAGGACTAGAGATGAGCGAATTTTTCAAAAATTTGATTCGCCTGATTCGCCGAATTTTCCGAAAAAAATCGATTCGATTTGAATTTATTCGCCGCAAATTTTACTTATAAAAAGGGTTTCTAGGCTTCAGAGAGCCTTTATATTAGTGCAGAACACTGTACCTTTAATTTAAATGTCCTTGGAGTCTGCTGGGGAAGAGAAATAATACTGTCAGTCAGTATGACATGCAGATGAGTGCCGTTGATCTTAGAATCACCGCACACTTCACTCATTTGGGCAGTCACGGGGCCAAAGAAGAAGAAGGAGAAGAAGAAGAATGAAAAGAAGAAGAAGAAGAAGAAGAATGAAAAGAATGAAAAGAAGAAGAAGAAGAAGAAGAAGAATGAAAAGAATGAGAAGAAGAAGAATGAAAAGAATGAGAAGAAGAATGAAAAGAATGAAAAGAAGAATGAAAATAATGAAAAGAAGAATGAAAATAAGAAGAAGAATGAAAAGAATGAAAAGAAGAATGAAAATAAGAAGAAGAATGAAAAGAAGAATGAAAAGAATGAAAAGAAGAATGAAAAGAATGAAAAGAAGAATGAAAAGAATGAAAAGAAGAATGAAAATAAGAAGAAGAATGAGAAGAAGAATGAAAAGAATGAAAAGAAGAATGAAAAGAAGAATGAAAAGAAGAATGAAAAGAAGAATGAAAAGAAGAATGAAAAGAAGAAGAAGAATGAAAAGAAGAATGAAAAGAATGAAAAGAAGAATGAAAATAAGAAGAAGAATGAAAAGAAGAATGAAAAGAATGAAAAGAAGAATGAAAAGAAGAATGAAAATAATAAGAAGAAGAATGAAAATAAGAATAATTCCAGTAAAGCAAAAAGTGTATGTGCAGAGTTCCTCTATTTCTGACAATGAAAAGAATGAAAAGAAGAATGAAAATAAGAAGAAGAATGAAAAGAAGAATGAAAAGAATGAAAAGAAGAATGAAAAGAATGAAAAGAAGAATGAAAATAAGAAGAAGAATGAAAATAAGAATAATTCCAGTAAAGCAAAAAGTGTTTCTGCAGAGTTCCTCTATTTCTGACAGTTCTCTGACAGTTCTTTCACATTTACAGCGGTTGAAACATTGTATCTATTTGTTTCCTAATAAAAACATCTGTATCCTAAATGGAAACAAATACATACAATGTTTCAACCGCTGGAAATGTGAAAGAACTGTCAGACAGCTGTCAGACATAGCGGAGCTCTCTGCAGGGACATTTTTGCCGGCTGTAGAAGGGATGAAAACGGCCGATCAGGAAAAATTTGATTCGACCATCCGAAGTCGGCAAAAATTCGGATTCGCCGCGAATCGAATTTTTCCTGAAATTCGAAACGAATTCCACTTTGCCTGATTCGATTCGCTCATCTCTAAACAGGACTATCAAATCCAGAATTGCTAAAATGTTGTTAGACAAAGGACATACATGGGTAGATGCCGTACCTTTTGTTCTGATGAGTATCAGAAGTACAACATCTTCATCTACACAGTACAGTCCATTTGAACTGATGACAGGTAGAAAAATGCCGCTTGTGTTCCCACATGAACCTTTTTTGTCTACTCCGCAGAAAGAACCAATTGAAAAAACCAAATGGTTACAGATGTTGCAAGACAATCTGAACGCCATTTTGCCACAAGCAGCTACTCGCATGCAGAAAATGATCCCTCCACACTCCTCAAAATTTGAGAAAGGTGGACAGTTCATGATTAAAACCTTTAGGAAAAGCGGGCCGTGGCAAAGTAATTGGAAAGGTCCTTTTGAAATTTTGGACACACTAGGTGTAATGATACAAGTCCAAAGACCTCTCAATTCTGTTAAAAATGCACGGAGACAACAAAAAATATGGGTTCACACTGATCAATGCAAGTTGTTTATGCCAAGATAATGATACTGCATTTCTTTTGCAGAAATGACATCTGATAATCAAATATGGAGGAACATCAAACTCCAAAAAGAAATATTGACAACATCAGAAAATCGGAAAGAAAGAACATTAACTAGTTGCCGACCGCAGATAGCCGAATGACGGCTGCACTGCGGCCGGCCAGTTCTGGGTGGACGTCATATGATGTCCCCCCAGAACGCGCTCTCCTGCGCGCCCCAGGGGGCGCGCACCTTTCGATCTCCGTGATCGCTGTGTCCTACGGACACAGCTGATCACGTGATGTGGTAAAAGGCCAATCATACCGGCCTTTTACCACGTGATCAGCGGTGTCCAATGACACGCTGATCACCAGGAAATGCAAGTGCCGGTTCTCGGCTGCACTTTCCTCACGCTGTCAGATCATGAGGAAAGTACTGCCGAGAACCGGCAGTTGTCAGAGCGAGGATCGGCACCGATCATCAGGGCACTGATGATCAGTGCCCTGATGATCGGTGCCCAGCAGTGCCACCCACAAGTTCCGCCCACCTGTGCCCAGCAGTGCGCCCACTAGTTCCGCCCACCTGTGCCCAGCAGTGCACCCACCTGTGCCCAGCAGTGCACCCACCTGTGCCACTCTGCAGTGTCACACACCTGTGCCCAGAAGTGCCACCTACCTGTGCCCAGCAGTGCCACCCACCAGTGCCACCCACCTGTGCCCACCCACCAGTGCTGCCCACCAGTGCCACCCACCAGTGCAGCCCAGCAGTGCTGCCAGTCAGTGCCACCAGTCAGTGCCCAACGGTTGTGCCAGTCAGTGCCGCCAGTCAGTGCCCAGCAGTGATGCCAGTCAGTGCTGTCTATCAGTACCCATCATCAGTGTCACCTATCAGTGCCGCCTATCAGTGCTGCATATTAGTGCCGCCTATCCGTGACACCTCATTAGTGCTGCCTATCAGTGCCGCCTATCCGTGCCACCTCATTAGTACTGCCTATCAGTGCCCTTTAGTGCTGCCTATCAGTGCCCATCAGTGCCGCCTATCAGTGCCCATCAGTGCTGCCTCATCAACGCACATCAGTGAAGGAGAAAAATTACCTGTTTGAAAAATTTTATAATAGAAATTTTTTGCACTTTTTTAATTTATAGCGCAAAAAGTAAAGCGCCCAGTGGCGATTAAATACCACCAAAAGAAAGCTCTATTTGTGAGAAAAAAAATGATCAAAATTTCATATGGGTACAATGTTGCATGACCGCGCAATTGTCAATCAAAGTGCGGCAGCGCTGAAAGCTGAAATTTGGCCTGGTAAATAAGGGGGTATAAGTGCCTGGTAGGCAAGTGGTTAAAAGGAGAAAATTCATCATCACGGGACTCCTTTTCTCATTAATGACATTTTTATTCCTAAAAACTTATATGACTTTTTCCAGCCCAGCAGAGAAGAACAAGTCTGAGACCCTGCATAAAAGAGAATTGCCTTTATCCAGAAACAAGAGACATTTTCCAAGATACAGTGACATTGACACAGCTGTAGACTTGTATGGACTTGCTTGTATAGGTCATGGAGCTACTTGTTGTATGCAATTGTATTTTCTTCATAGTAACTCTATTGAAATACAAGCTAGAATAGAATCTAAACCAAGGTTTACAAAAATGCAAGGATCATATGTACATAATAATAAAACTGGTACATATGAATGTAATTTAACTGAGATGGGATTCTGGTCCATAGTTTTAAAAGGAAATGAGTCTACAATTTGGACTGGCGATGTAACTAGAGATAGAGTAGGTTCTTCTTCTGTAGGAGGATCCAAAACAGATATTTGGTTTTTGACCCAATATTATTTACAGTTTATGGATCCTGAACACTTAAAGATTACAGGAGATGAAGAAGGAGATGTAATTAGAGTATGGGATTTTCAAATAACAAGAGGTTCAGCTCATGTTAAAGTGAGAGCGACTATTTCAATTGTAGACTTGATTATTCCAGATATAAAAGTATCTCCTCAAGCTGTTAAAATTATTGAAGGAAATGATGATTTAAATTTGATATGTACTACACAAATATATTTACCTCAAAATTCCCTATTAACTTGGAAAAGAAATGGTGAATTTTTGGGTAGTCTTTTCCATAGCTCTACTAATATAATTCGTAAGAGTAATCTTGGAAATGTAGATTGGACTAATAATAACTTTATCAACACAGTAGTCCAAATCTTAATGACACAAGGCATGTATGTTGCATGTATGTATGAATGTTGCATATCATTAGAAAATAATCCAATGAAATGTGATACTGCAAATGTTATAAATTCATCTCCTGCGAAAATTAAGTGTACTGATGAAAAATGTATTCCTTCAAGTCCATTTCAAATTAATCATTTCCAACCCAGACATCTCTTAAGAGAAGGACATTTTGTGATTATACTTTGGAAATTTAATGCTTCTCATTGGAAAATTTCATCAAAGTATCCTCAATGTCAAGAATATTTAATTAATATGGAATTGGGTATGGATAAATGGTTTGGAACTAATAATAAAAATAACAACAGGAATAAACAAGGTATCGTAGAAGGAATTCTAGGAGGAGTTGGTACTATTGGAAGTATTACCAATAGTATGGATATTAATACATTAAACTCTGATCTGGAAACAGCGGGCTTAGTGGGTAGTAAAAGTATTAAAGTTCAAAGAAATGTAAATCAAATATTAGAAAATATGTTAATGAAGACAGCTAAGGTTATAGGCCCAGCTGTAGTCCACTTACAAGATGTTACTTTGAATTTAATGGACAGAGAGCAACATTCCCACATAGCCAGAACATGTCTAGAAATACAGACAGAGTATTCTACCAATTTTAAAATAATTGCACAAGCATTCCAAAGTGGAATAACTCCTCTAAGTCTTTTGCAAAGTTTACCTAATGAATATGTATTTGCAAAAAAATCATATAGATTTATGGGTAAATAAATGGGTAGGATGTAATCAACATGAATGCTTTGGTACCTCAATAAATTCCCATTGCTGGGAAAGAACAAATGTTAGTTCCAGTTACAGTCTTAGGATTGCCAGTTAGTAATACCCAGTTGTTATATTATCAATTACAGTTTGTAGATTTTGCTTTGGATACTAATACATCTGAACCAGAACAATTAGATTTATCTTCTTGTTTACATTTTCAATCAAAAGTAATATGTTTGCCTAATCAGGACAAAGGTATTTTTCATTCTTGTTTTCATAATCATTCATTATGTACAGCAAGAATAGAAAAAGTAAAAACTTCACTTGACCTAGTCACTGTTGTAGGAAAAAGGAAAGTCTGTTTTTCAAGTCATGACAGACACTGAAACAGTTAAAGCTTTCTTCCTATCCTGCACACATACAGATATCCTGAGTCGAGGCTTGTATTGTATAGAAGGAGATCTTACAGGAATTAGTTTAAATGGAATTAGAGTAAATTTAACTAATATACTTATGAAAAATGTGAGTGTTCTATCTATACAATATAATATATCTCAAGTAGATGAGTTTCCATGGAAGGAATGGGCAGAGATCATACAAAAGGATAAGGGATTATTAATTGCTTTGTCTGAAGAACTTCAGAAAGCAGAAGTAATATTTAAGCATGAACAAGGAAATCTACTAGAGATAGAACATGATTGGTCTGAATTTTCAGGTCGTTCATGGTAGTCAAAATTTAAAAATACTGTATCAATGTGGGGAAAAACCTCAGTAACAGCAGCGGTTGGAAATATATTATTACACCCATTAATTATTATATTTATTATTATGATTTTATGTATTTTATTTCAAATCTGTATTATGATTAGAATGAAACAATTTTACAAAAAGATTAAGAAAGAAAATGAAAGAAGGTGAAAAAATCATGTCATGTATTTTTAGAAGGAAGGTTACCTCTGACTTAACTGACCTGGTTATAGAAAATGGTGCATCTGGAACAACTGATTCAGAGCGTGTATAGTTGGGCCATGAATGAAGTATGAATGTATATATAATATTATATGATAAATTATATTTAGGGGGAATATTGTAGGAAATTAATTCAGCATAAAACAGACGTCTGTATTGTTTCATATCTCTGTCTCCTCTATATGACAAGTAAAGTCACTGAGCTAGTGTAATTTTAACTTTGTGTGTGTGTGAAGGCTTTGAAAAACAGGTGTTAAAGATGAATCATGGTATATTCATGTCTAAGAGGTCAGCAGGTCATAAGCTTCTTTTAAGAATAGCAATTGGAATGCAATAAGATATTGGTAAGCAGTAAGAGCAAAGAAAGAATATGTCTTTTATAAAGAAAATCATGTCTAATCTATAATATAGTTAGTTGGATAATTATTTCATATAATTAATTTATTAGTTAGGAATAGTGTGTGATAAAGTTTAGTATCAATTATTGTTGGTTATATATTTATGCATTTATGTGAACATTGTCTTTTCTTAAAATATGTGAAGCTATTGGAGATCACGTAACAGTATCATGTATTTCTGTCGTCTAAAGGTTTGAAGATAACGTCACACTAAGAGTAATAAGTATAGAAGATTTACAAATATGGACACTAAGAGTTATAAGTATAGAAGATGTACAAAAAAGGCTTTTTACTTATTTAGCTCACACTGAATTAGGAAATAACTGTTTAGTGGGTTGGCTTTGTTAAAACATATATAAGAAGTGCCTTAGAGATAGAGCGGGTTACACTCATTCACACACATACATCTATACATTCAGCAGCTGACACATACTAACATTTTCATTTTCTTAAGGCCTACAAAGCCTTGATACATCTGTTGCCTTCCCCTGCAAGACTGAAACACTTTTCATAGAACAGGCAAGAGATTAGACATTTTTTCAAAGCTTATTTCTTTTTCCATAATCTACAACTTTTGTTATATTTTACTCTGTATTTTTATTTTATCTTTTGTATTCATTTTATGTTGATGCCAAGTGTGAATTAAATAAAAGTCACACTGTTTAAAATCAGCCTGGCACTAGAACACTTTACCTCAAACGCCTAAGACAGACACTTAGATAATATAAGTGTCACGATATTTAACAGTTGCTAAGCCTGGACATTAACAAGGCCTTTGATAGTGTCCTCTGGCCCTATTTATTTTCACTAATGCAGAAGATGGGCTTCAATGACAAATTTCTGTCTGGTGTACATGCTCTGTACGCCTCCCCCCAAACAAGAATTAGACTCCCAGGCTGCAATTCTGACTTTATTACACTGGGCAGGGATACCCGTCAGGGCTGTCCACTTTTGCCCTTACCATTTGCGCTTGTTTTGGAACCCTTGGCAAATGCAATAAGAACACACCCAGACATTTCTAGATATCCACTATTGGTCTCACAATTCAAATTATGTATGTATGCAGATGATGTTAATATTATTATTATACAGGATTTATATAGCACCTACGGTTTGCTCAGTGCTTTACATTATAGTGGGAGACAATACAGTAACAATACAATTCAATACAAGAGGGATTAGAGGGCCCTGCTCCTTGGAGCTTACAATCTAGGAGGGCAGGGTGAGTGGTACAGTAGGTAGTCACTGTGGGGGATGGAGTGGTTGGAAGAGTAGAGGATATCAGAATTAGCAGAGGGCGGGATAGGCTTCCCTGAAGAGAAAGGTTTTCAGTGAACGCCGAAAGGCAAGTAGAGTAGGTGATAATCTGATAGATTGGGGTAGGGAGTTCCAGAGGATGGGTGATGCCCTGGAGAAGTCTTGGAGACGAGCATGGGAGGAGGAGATAAGGGAGCTAGAGAGTAAGAGATCTTGCGAGGAGCGGAGTGTACGGTTTGGGTGATATTTAGAGATAAGATCGGTTATGTAATTTGGGGCAGTGTTG